AATCTAAGTGCTTTTCGTGTGTTCCATCGGGTGAGCGGGGAGCACGACGGCATCCGCTGAGGACGCGCACGCAATCGAAAGGAGCATCCGTCTCTCGCGCCGCTTGCTGTGGCTCGCCGCTGCTCCTTGCCAGCCGCCCTCCTTGCAATTCCCTCTCCCACCAGCAGCAAGCAGCAAGTGGACGCGAGTTGAGGGGAGGCGAGCGCAAGACGCGCGCGCAATCAGCCTCGCAGGCTCGTGGCGCGCGCGAGACGGAGAGCGCGCGCGCAGACACACACCACATACACACACATCGAGGGGAGGGGAAGGGCTCCGGAGGCTTGGCATGTTCCTGTGTGGACGAGAATCAGTCCGCGAGCCCAGGAGCGGGAGGGCGAGCCCCTGCCACTAAGGCGCCTCCCTCCCTCGCTCCATTCATTCGCCTGCTCTCCTCATGCCGGCGGCTCCCGCTCTTTCGCCGCCCGTCGCCTGGGACTCCAACCTGTTTGTGGAGGTCACTCTTGGGCCGCCAGCAGCCTGTGGCTTCTTCCCTCCGCCGCCGCCTTGCAGCGTCTGATGGTCTTTGCTCCGGGGAGGCGAGTCGGAGCTGGGCAGTGAGCGAGGAGGAAGCAGCAGCAGCAGCAGCCCCGTCGCCCTCGCACGATCTGGGACTTACAAGCCAGGCAGCCATCCCCGCCCCATCTCTCACACCCACCGGCCCCGGAGGGATTTACTTTGTCAGGAGGAGCCCGCGGGGCTGACGCGCCGCTGAGAAGATGTACCTAGACCCTGAGGCGGCCAAAGGTAAGCGCGGAGGAGCCCCCTCTCCCTCGCACGTCGGTCGGGGCAAAGAGGACCGCCGCCCCGCCGCCTGCCTTGTGCAGCAGCGCCGAGCGCTTGCTCCGGGTTGCGAGTGGGCAGAACCGCCGTCTTTGTGTGAGCGCCTATGTGTCTCTGTGTGTGAAAGAGGCGGAGGTCGCGGCGCTGCTCCGCGCACCTGAAGGAGGAGGAGGAGAAAAGAAGGCGAAGAATGCCCGCGGCTGATTGGGCGGGGAAACGGGGGGAGGGGGGTCGGCACCCCGCAAGGAGGCAAAGCGGGGGGGGGGGGGCAGGAACGTGTTAGCAGCTGCGGCTCCGGAGGGCGGTGGCGGGAAGCGAGTCCTGAGGCGGCGAGGGCTCTGGTCCGAGGAGCTGAGGGAGGCTGCGCGGGGACTGACAGGGCGCAGCGGGCTTTTTGGCGGGCGCAGCCTTGAGGGGAACTTCTCGTGAGAACCCCGAGGTCGCCTCCTGCTCTTCGAGCACCCGAAGGGGAGGAGGAACCAGCCCCACGGCTGGCGTCGCTTCCGGGGACTGGCGGCGCCTGAGGGGAGCGGGAGGGGGATTCGAGGTGGGACTCTCGAAGGCTGAGCTTGGCGCGAGGCGCCGCCGCTCTCTGCTCGCTTTCCTTCCACGCCTTGCGCCTTTTCTTCTCCGCCCCCCACCCCACAACTTAATTCCTGCTACCCTCCGCCTCTTGCTCCCTTCTTCCGGTCTTCCTTGGACTTCGCGGAGTTTCCCAGTTGCCTCTAGTTCTCCCCCAAAAGTCACTCTCGGGTCGCCGCTTCTCTTCTTCGCCATGAGTCACGAGCCGCTGCCCCTCGGAGCCGCCGCGACCGACGAGGCACCTGCTGTTCCTGCAAGTGAAAGCGCTGCAACCTGACCGACACCGCGGCCCACCGGCTTCCCGGCCGGGCGGGATGAGAGGAGGCTCGCGCGGGCTTCTCTGGCCGGCAGCGGCAGCTCCTTGCTTCCATCAACACTCTTGCTGTCGCCCGTAAACACTTGCTTTTCTGGAGGGAAGGTAGCCGGGGTGGTTTGTTTTGCTGATCTAACGCGGTAAACAGGCAGCTTTCATGAGCACAGTGTGCACAAATGCGCGCAGCACATACTATATATATCTCTCTCGCATTTTATATTCTGGAATTGCTACCAAATCAGCTTCTGGCCCTGTACTCACAATAGATGATACAATCCCACAGGGACATGTGGCATCAAGACTGTGGAAAGCCTACACTTTCTCTGTTGCCTTGTGTGTAGAAAACTGCAGTTCATGTGTATGGGGAGGGTGTGTGTCTTGCCTTTAAGTGACAGCCTTGAACAAGCTCCTTGTGGATGTGGCATTGCCTTCAGAGCCTCCGGGCTAGATCAAGCGATGATTTATTAGGATCCAGGAAGATGCCGAATCTGGAATAGTTATTTTCTTCCCCTTCCTAAGCCTGTAGGATCATGTTAATGCATTGGCCTGATTTCTGAGAAAGTGTCAAGCAACCACTTACATATCTAGCAGAAGCCTAAGGTTTATGCGAGCAAGCAAGAAACCTAATTTAACTTGTGAAAGCAGCATTTATTGTCCCATTCAATTTAATGGAAGTCTCCCACAGTGTGGCCAGAATCTACTTCTCCAGAGGATCTCATGTGATTTCACTGTGACTTAAAAGAAGCTTATTTCTTACCTCTTCAGTGTAGTGGCCGAAGCCTGTGTATCTGATACGCTCAGGTGGACAGATATGCCTGCATGATATAGTAGGTAGAATGTGAGACTGGGTCTAGGGGACCCTGGTTCAACCCCTACCTGCCACTCACAAGAGCTCACTTGCTGTGCCAGTCTTGGGCCAATCCGTCTACTCTGCCTCACAGATGGGGAAAAAATGGAGGTGGAGGGTGAGCCAGATATGCCGCCTTCTTGGCACATCAGAGAAAAGGTAGGATGCAGATGCAATAATAGGTTGCCAACAGCTATAGGTGGAATGCCCTTGTGCCAGGGGAGTACACCTCTGAATACCAGGTGGTTGGGACAAATGGGAGGGACGTTGATCATGCGGTTTATAAGTTTCCCAGAAGTATCCAACTCGGATGGGGAACCTGTGGCCCACCTGATATTGTTGGACTCCAACTGCCATCAACCCCAGCCAGCATGGCCAATGGTCAGGGATGATGGGAACTGTAGTCCAGCAACACTGGGGGGGGGGCAAAGGTTCCCCATCTCTGATCTCTATTGGAAAACATTGCTGGGCTAGATGAGCCCACAATGCTCCTCTTATGCTCTAATTTAAAAGTTATGTTCAACGGTGAGCCTTAGCAATATCCTGCGACAAACATTACCAGGAGCTAATTGTACAGTACTGCATTTGTAATGTTCTCTCTTAGTATTTTGAAGGTTGCTGTCTTATTTCTTTCACTTTTGTACAAGTGTAGGTAGGAAGAACACACGGCATCCATCCTCTACTGCATTCACTGTTAATGCCATTAATGCATGCAATCCTCCATTCCAAACAGCTGTATTATTCTCAGCTCAGCTTTCGTAGGCCTCTAAATCCACTTTCCTCTCGCATTAGAAAATAGAAAAGCCAAAATTGCGTGCAGTGCTTCAAGAAAGTCCACTAAAGAACAGTACCATCAGAATATTTTTCACATCCACCATCCTATTGTCACTAGTTTATTTTTCACAGCTGTACTGTAATCTACAGTATATGAAGCAGAGATGTATATTAAGCTGCCTACTCCTGTTCATGTTTCTTTGCTGAGATACTCCCGTTACTGCAGATCGTGGCACTTAAATTCTTGCTGAGTAAATACTTTATTACAGAGGCAGTGTGATGTTGTGGTTAGAGCACTGGTAAGACCTAGGTTCAAATTAGCTCTCACGCTATGAACTTTACAGAGTGACTCTTGGCCAGTCACACTCTTTCAGCCTGACCAACGGTTATGGGGTTGCTGTGAGGATAAAACTGGGGAGCAGGGGGGAATCGTGTACACTTTCTTGAGCTCCTAGCAGGAAGGGCAAGATATAAATGTAATAAATAAATGATAAAGGTCAGCTCTATTATGTGGATTGGGAAAGTTTTGTGCTCTGATAAAGTCACACTCCAGCACCATTCCAGACTTTCATTGCTCCACAACTGTCCACTTTCTTTCTGTTTCGCCCCATCATTAGCGTCAAATGAATTAGCCTGATGAACTGTCTCATTCCACTCTACTTGCATTTCTGTCATCTTTTTTGAACCCAGCTGCATTAATGAGAGTTTGCCCTTACCCTGCCCCCACCAATGACCACTTACGAAGGGCGGACACTGCCATAGCTATTCCACAGCACCAACAAGCACCGTACAATAACTTCTTAGCATGGCTGTCCCTCTCTCTTCATTTATGACCTTGGTTGAAATGCATGGGCAGCTATTACTTATTAAGAGTCAAGACATTGACCAGACGTGGAGGCCTGGCAAAGGAATTGCTGTGTTGGGTTAAGCCTATAACGCAGTTCTCAGCATTCCATCTACTCACAGCAGCCAGCCAGGTACCTCCAGGGAGGCTCGTGCGCATTACGTTTGTTCGTCCTCAGCATTTGGTTGTCAACACATATGCTGCTTTTGAAAGCTGAGATCACTTCTACATCCTAACTGACATACACTTACCCAATTTTTTAAAAAGGCTTTATGTTGGCAGTTTCTGCGACTTCCCCACCACATCTCATTGACGCACGTCTTCCTTTCCTCTACCAGCATCCTACTAATAGAGCAGCAACAGATGAATGCAGCCCCCCCCTCCTCATAATCTGGCACACCTCCAGAATCTTCTGCACCTCCTATTGGCTAAGTAATAACACTATCCTAAGTGTTCCTGCACTTAGTTTTAAAGGAGTGCCATAAAAGCGCCCTTCATGCCAGGATATTCATCAGACCTAATTGGGACTATTGAGGGGTCCTACTCTGTGGCTCTGTGGGGCAGAAGAAGAAGAGTTTGGATTTGATATCCCGCCTTTCACTCCCTTTAAGGAGTCTCAAAGCGGCTAACATTCTCCTTTCCCTTCCTCCCCCACAACAAACACTCTGTGAGGTGAGTGGGGCTGAGAGACTTCACAGAAGTGTGACTGGCCCAAGGTCACCCAGCAGCTGCATGTGGAAGAGCGGAGACGCGAACCCGGTTCCCCAGATTACGTGACTACCGCTCTTAACCACTACACCACACTGGCTCTCTAATGGGGTGCAGCTCAGGGGTAGAGCATCTGCTTTGCATGCAAAAGGTCTTGGGTTCAACCCAAAGCATCTGTAGGTAAAGCTGGAAATGTCTTCTGCTTGAAACCCGGGTGAGCTGCTGCCAGTTAGTGTAGACAATACTGAGCTAGATGGACTACTGGTCTGACTGGGTATAAGGCAGGTTCCTGTGCTTAAACTCCAGAGCATCTTCACTCTTTGTGCATTTTACTGTATTCCATGACTATGTTGTGCAAACATTCCCAATGTGATCATTCTTTGCTACATCGTTGTGGCTATTTGTGAAGTTCCACAGCTTACTCTATGTGAAATGGCACTTTAGTCCTAAGCATGCTTATTGCTTAGGAATGTCCTCCTAAGTATGCTTAGGGGTCACAGTGGAAGTGGATGAAAATTAAGATCAAACCGTCTTCACAAACATGCTACAAAACTGTATGTATGATGTGATCTGAATAAAAGGAATCATCTGAAACATCCTGTCAATAATAATGGCTAAATCAGAAGCCTGTAGGCTGACCAGTCCTATGCAGTGAGACCCCCATCTGGTCTTTGGAGGAATGTATACAGAGGAATGTGTATACAGTGGTACCTTGGGTTACAGATGCTTCAGGTTACAGACTCCGCTAACCCAGAAATAGTACCTTGGGTTAAGAACTTTGCTTCAGGATGAGAAGAGAAATTGTGCTCTGGCGGCACGGTGGCAGCAGGAGGCCCCATTAGCTAAAGTTGTACCTCAGGTTAAGAACAGTTTCAGGTTAAGAACGGACCTCCAGAACGAATTAAGTTCTTAACCTGAGGTACCACTGTACAGGAGAGCAGGATAAGCATTTGGCTAGAGAAATATGGTCAATGTGGCATATGCAGCATGAGAGTTCCAGATTACTATACTGTGGTGTGTTCTGAAAAGCAACAAAATAGGGTTCTGGCTCTGAAAGAATTTGAATCTTCAGTCTGTGAAGATTCAGTGTGAAACAAAATAATGATACAATTCCTCCTCAAAAGGGGGTGGAGGGCTTGAGCGAAGTGCTGTTGTGGCAGGAGTTTGCTAACCCTGTGGCTCTCTGGAAACAGTTTGACTCCAACTCCCATCAGCCTCAGCCAAAATAGCTAATGGTCAGGGATGGTGGATGTTCAAATTTGAGGAGTCACAGGTTCCTCACACCTGCACTATATCAACAAAACAGCAACAAACTTACTTGTGGGCAGCATGAAAGTGGGTCTATGATAGTTCAGAAAAAGATGTGAAAGTAGTGTGATTTAGAAAGGATTTTAAAGGAGGAGTTGTTTCTCAGTAGTTATGAAAGGAGACAGCTAGGAAGCGCCATTCAAAGAAAGCATAAAACTGGGTAGAGCTAAAAGGAGATTAACATGCATGAAGAAAAAGGCCAGTGAGTGAGTGTGTGTCTGGAGAAAGTGTTAAAATGTGGAGAGTGGGAACTTGAAGCACATACCATATTTAGTTAAAGCCCCTCTTTCAGTTTCCGAGACCCCACAAAACAAATGGTTAGAAAAAGTGAAGATGGTAGTGGCATGACTTAACATTGTTCGCAAGGCTTCTGCTTCAAATGGTGTCACTTTGGTGCCTGTGTGGTTTCTAAACTGATTATGTCTCCCCTGGATAAAAGGCACTTTGCTGTGTGATGCATTGTTAATTATGATTAAAGAGAAAACCAAAGTTTAATACAGATACCAGCAGTAAGGGGAAAGATGAAGTTAAAACGAGAGGTAAAGGCTAGAGTGTAAAGAAGCTTTTCAGATATGCTGTGTGATTGAATCAAGAAGGGCTATCCCTAAAGGACCTTTTTGGAGAACAAGAAAAGGAGGGAAGGAGACATCTGAACACAAGTTGCCATTAGGGAAACCATTGCCTGCTTTCTAAAGTGGTTTCAACAAGGCCATGCCAAGTTGCAAAGTGGGCTGGAGACAACAGGTTTAGATGACTGCTTTGCCTTCACCACTGGGTTATGCGGGCTCCAAAAAAGCAGTTAGCTATTGCCCCCAAAGTTATGATTACTGTTTATTATAGACTTACTCACATCGAATGAGAACTTCTTCCATACAATTGAAAACACTGCTCTGCAAGAGCAGCACTTATGAGAAAGGCTTGAAATAAAAGCCACTTCCCAGCGGAAGGCAGATTATGCGTTTTCAAATAGTAACTTCCCATGTTGGGTGTGTAACCACTTTGGTTTTTCAGTCCTTTGTGCTACCCTACAGAGAAGTGAGGGGAAATTGATCACTCCTGACTTCCCCATAATCTTTTATCAGATGCCAGAGCCTGGTCAAACACTTCTCTGCTAAGCAGGGTGACACTAATGACCAACTTCCCAAGCAGTTATATGCAGTATGTGGTAAATTACAGAAGTGTTTTCTGTATTCATCATTGAACTGCCCTGATTGTGTGGACAAAAATGTGGTTTAAGGGCAGGCAATGTCTTCATGGATCTTGAGGCTGCAGGGACAGAGGTGTGTGTATTAAGGCTGAATAAGAAGTGGGCTCGCACTGCACAACACACATTGCTCCTCTCTTAGAAGAGGGATAGGCCTGTGGCAGATTGAGCGAATATCAGCTACAGTGGTACCTCGGGTTACATACACTTCAGGTTACATACGCTTCAGGTTACAGACTCTGCTAACCCAGAAACAGTACCTCGGGTTAAGAACTTTGCTTCAGGATGAGAACAGAAATTGTGCGGCGGTGGCACGGCAGCAGCGGGAGGCCCCATTAGCTAAAGTGGCACCTCAGGTTAAGAAAAGCTTCAGGTTAAGAACGGACCTCCAGAACGAATTAAATATGTAACCAGAGGTACCACTGTATTATTATTATTATTATTAGGACAGTGTATGATGGGCCTTATTGTTGCGCTAGCTGCAGAAAATGATGAGGGAGGAAAAAACGCTGGCAAAATGGCATCTTGTGGTATACCTGATCCTGCTCAAAGGTGCAGGCAATGGGAGTCTGAGGTTCCTACCTCCAAGGGGAAGAGAGACTCCCACTCTTTCACCCCTCTTTTGCTTTCAGTTCAGTGAACTTTTACTACCGGGGCTAAGAGAATCTGTGGCCATTCCTTGCCAAGGCCACCCAACCTGCTACTTCAAGGGATTGCTCCAGGAAGGGAAGAGTCAGACCCTGTTCCCCATGTGGCAAAGTCCGTGTGCCCAGAGAGCCTGGCGGTTCCTCGCGAGCCTCTGGGCTCTGCCCTCTCGCTCTGCTTGCTCGCCCTTCGCGGCCTCAAGAGTTGTCTGAGAAGCCCTCGCTCGGCAGCCGAAGAGCAATGCCTCCTCAGGAGGAGAGAAATAAATGAGCACGGCGGCGCCTTCAGGATGTGCGCCTCTTTTCCTCTCGGTCTCCGGGCTGAAGAAAAGGCACGAGTTCTTGATGAGCAAGTGTCGGGGGACTCCGGAGCGAGAGGCTGGGGAGGAAGGCGACGCCTGAAGGCTCGGAGTTGGGCTGGTTAAACATAAGATGAAACAATATCCAAAGGGTTGCAGAAAGATAGAGAGCCGCTGCTGGGCTTGCGCGGCACACGCTCCCTCTCCCGGTGGTGCTCCACTCGTGGGCAAAATTACCCGGGGCGGGGGCGGAGCCTGCGGTGCAGGCGCGGAACGATCGGCCCTCTTTTTGCCTTGCCGAGCGACACGCCCTCTGCCGCTCCCAGCGTAGACTCCCCCCCCCCCCCCCAGCGCGCGTGTGGACGCACCAACACGGTTGCTCAAAACTGGTTTCCGAGTGACCCCAGCGCTAAAAGCCCTCGCCGCCTTTTGCTACACCCTCCCTCCCTCCGCTTCCTAGTTAAATCCGGATCTTTTTCGTGCTGTTATGTAGAGCTGGTGATGGCGGACCTCAGATCTCGCTCGTCCGCTACGCCCCCTTGCTATTGTTACTCCCCGCTTTCTAATTCCTGGCTGCTAAACTCAACGCCTTGCTCCGCCCCATTGATCGCCGCCTTATCACCACCTTCGGTCTGGGCTCGATCTCTCCCCCCCCCTCTGAACTAACCGAAGCAAGAGAAAAAGACATTTGCAGGCAGGAATCCTTTTGCCTGGAGCCGGGCAGGAGGAGGCCCCTCGCCTGCACCCGGATATTCCTGGGTGGAACTGTTGCATCACGGAGATTGCCACCTTTCCCCTTCTCGTCCCTCGTCTAGATCCCGCCCACTGGCTGTAAAATTCCTCCGATACTGCTGCTGCTGTCAGGTGCTCGCTGTCTCCCGGAATAGCTCTCGCGGCGTGGCTCCCCGCCCATTCGCCCCCTCTCCAGCCCGTGCAGCAGGTGAGGTCAGCCTGACAAATTTAAACTCGAGGACGGAGCCGCAGGACGGAGCCCACGGCCTCATCCCACCTGGCGCTCAAGCTGCTAGAGAGAGGCAAAGCGACCAGAGAAAGGAAGACAGATGCTGATAATATTGCTGCCACCCCTCAGGCCCCAAGGGGTTCGGCTATGATATCTTACGATGTATTTAACAGCAAAAGAGGGTTGTTGCTTTTTTGGTGGGTTGGTATAAATGCAGGCAAGAAAGTTGCCCTCGAGGGATTGTGTTTTAAAAGCAGCAAGCTATGGGAGAGTGGGAGACCATAAGTGCATCTAGAAGGCGAATGACCAGCTTTGTGAACATCTACTCCCTACGTTAAAAAACAAACTAACATGAAATCTCCACGTTCTCCCTGCTAGCGAGAGATGCCTGGCCATTGTTGGGGAAAGAAGATGCTGGACTCGATGAGCTGCTGTTCAGGTCCAGGAAGGCTCCTTCCTTAAGGTCTTAGGATAAGGATGGTGGGGTCAGTTTAAGACAGTGCTAGGAATCTATAGTCCCCATATATGAATGGCTTCAAACATGGTGAGGAGGCCATAGGTGAGAATGTGGGAATTTTAAGGAAGGTAGGAAAGAATATATTGCTTTTATATTATCCCTCCTCACTCACACTAGTGAGTAAACAGCAGGGCCCATTCCCTTTGCAACTTATTGGAAGCAAGTTGATGATTCATTAGAATCCTGTAATTAAGCAATCCAGTCTGGCTTGTCCAGTCTGGATTGTTCCTGGTAAGTTTCCCCTTTATTGCCCTCTTAAAATAACAATAACACAACACAACACAACACAACACAGTCTTCTTTAAAAGTAAGAATAAAGTTTTACAAACATTCCGTTCAGCAGTAATCTGAAGGCAGGCTTTATCTTGTGGTTACAGTGAAAAGGAGTCTGAGCTACATCTCAGACTTCCTTCTTGTGGGCTCCATCCTATCTGAAGGTGGAGCCATGTGCTGGCTAAGAGTCAGGAGAGTCCAAGAGTAAGAGTAACAGAGTAAGAGTCGAAGAGAGAGATGGTTGCGTGACCAGTCCTTTTTATCCGGTCAGCTAGGGTCATGCCCATCTACCTGGCCACACACAGGGGGAGGAAGCTCCAGAGCAGGTATGACAGGAAGTCCTCCTTGTCTGGAGCCACATTCCCCTGTGTGTCCATTCTAGGCAATAGGAAAATGTTGTACTTGACTGCTCTAGTAATAATACAGAATCCCACAGAATCTTAACTGGCTTGTACTTTATGTTTGCCCTCCTGTCCGTCTCATGTAGAATAGGATTTTTGTGTCCCCACCTCCTTAGAAATTCTATAATCACAGTCTTGCACCAACATCTCTTGTCCCAGTAGTTCAGAGTCAGAAGAAGCTGCACACCATTCTGAAGACAGGCTTCAAAATATAGGCCTGCTACTTCGATTAAGTTGGGCAAGAGACAGAAGGCCTCAAATGAAATCTACAAGCACTATTCCCTGTCTCCCTCTGCAGCCACCCAGTTTGACCCAAGTCATGCCCTTGTAGTCTTCTAAAAACAATTTATAAGGGGCTGACAAAACAAGCCGAGCATTGCTCCTTTGTCAATATGCCCCCATAACTCGAGCATCAGTGCTTTACCAAGTGTTTTGCTCAGGTATGTGCAGAAAATCCAGGATCGCTAGAGAATCTTCGCCACCTCTTACCATAGACCATCTTGTGTGTGTCTCTAATACATGCACAAACTGGTACATATACAACGGAGTAGCAATCAGGTGGAGAGTAACTAGAGATATTAAAGCGTTTGTGCAGTATTGGCGGTGGGGTGGGTGTGGATGGACCTGTGGCCTTCCTGATGCTGTTGGACTCCCAACTTTCAGCAAGAAGGAAATCATAATGCAGTGCAAGGAAAGCAGTTTACCAGCCTATTGGGTGCTGCTCATACCAACATAAAAATGGGTGCTGGGTCTGATGTGGAGCTGCGAGAACCAGATTCAGCTCACTTTGGGTGACTTTGAGCAGAGCTGCTATATATGCTGATTGCCTCATGTAAGGAAGATACATGTATGATGTAACACTGTCGCCTGTGAGCCAGGTGCTCCCCAGCCAAGCTGTTCAACAGTTGGAACACCCACATACACTATGACATCATTGCATCCAAAGATTTTGGCTGTGTAAAGTCTGTCTCCCCCTCTCCATCTGAAGAACATAGCAAGTGTCCTACTGGGCAGTGAGAGCTCACACTGGAAGTTGTGTGTAAGGCAGAGGTGACTGTCAGGTTTGATATGAAGGAGTGGGCTGCAAACATTAAGATGGGGCTAGAGAGAAATTGTGGGCTGCTGACTGGCTATCCCTCTTGTATGAAGAATAGTTCAGGTGTTTCCTCTTCTATGGGTACATAGGCTGACCAGCTAATACACATATTTTCATGCCTACAATGGAAAAACTGCCAACTCAAATATTATTAAACAATTATCACAATATGAACTTCAATTTTGGACTATATATATCAATATAACTCCCAGCCCTGCACAGAGATTGTCTCCACATTAAGTAAAGTGACAGATGAAATGTTTCTTGCAGCCTAAGTAGGTTGCAAGCTTAAATAACATTTTAAAAAAATGTTTGAATGTGCTATAGAAACAATTAGCCATCATCTCAGGGTTAAGCTTAATAAATTTACTGCCGTGCTATGTTTTAAAGCCCTATAGGAATCAGGGCAACTAACAGCAGCCTCCACCCAGGCTGTCCTTATCTTTGTCACAGCTTCTACCTAAGTCTCTGTGACTCTCCTTAAACTCAGCCCCGTATCTGCCAACTTTAAAAAAGCATGAGTCAGATTACTTCAAACCGTGAGATTTAGATTTATGTCACACACGTTCCCCTTTTTAAAGATAAATGAGGTTCTATTTTTTCCTTGGTTTATGACCATGGCACATGCTGCAGGCATGTTCTCTTTGTAACTATGAAAAGTGGATTTTTTCCCTTTTAAAAATGTAAGATTCTCATCCCTCAGTTCCAGGATCTCAGAGGTTCTGAAACCTCACGACTCTGCATGTAAAATGGGAAGAGTCAGAATACTATGTCTGTGGTGGAAAAGTACTGTGCCAAAATACGTTTGGAGAGGCTTGGGTTAGGTCATCCTTGCTTCAGAGGTGAGGATGCTAGGCAGAGGATCAGTGGCAGTGTTTGTGCCATGGGGGTATTTATTTGTTGCATGAGTGTCTCAGCTTTTCTGCAAGGAGCTCAGGGTGGTGTACATGAGCTTCTCCCTCATTATATCCTCACAACAAGCCTGTGATTGTAGTTTAAGCTGAAAGTTGGTGATTGGGCCAGGGTCAACCTGTGAACTTGGGTGAGCAAAGATTTGAACTTGGGTCTCCCTAGTCCAAAAACCATCAGTCTGCATGCTACATTGCAGGACAGGATGCTTGTTCCCTTGCTGGTTTCATTTTTCCTAAAGTGATGAATCTGCTGTCTAACCTCATGCCGTCACGTACCATGGTGGCATCTGAGCAACCTTTCACCCCATTCCATCTGTTTCCTCTTTGTCCTGATTTATCCTCTTTTCGTTTCTTCCTCTCTGTGCTTTCCTGAGAGTCCTATCTGTGATCAGCATGTTCAGGTTTGCAGGAAGCAGGACAGACGGGTACCCAGGTGAGATTGCCACTGATAATGCAGAATAAGAAGGATGTGAGACAGGAGGGAGAGGTGACCTTGTGTTAAGTTAATCAAGTCTGAGTGGAAAGTGGCCAATCGCGTAAGAGCAGATAAAGCAGGGCTAGTGGAGGAGTCTGAGGAGATGATGGAATAGACATGAAAATGTTCGTAGTCTGTGAGGCATTATTGCACCCAGTTGTTTTGTTTTATTTTTACAGCAACTACATCTGAGTTGGAGTATTATTGGTTTTCATTACTGCATGATATGATTCTGTTGCAAGGGAAGGCGTTTCCAAAAACTGAAGGTGCTTACTTACCAATAGTACTAAATATTTATACACACACAGTACAACTTAATTACCATGGATGCCATTTCACTAGTTAGTTAAGCTAGTTCTAGAACAATTATTTCTGTCCATATGCAGAAGCAGAAAATGGCTACTCTGGAAAGCAGCAACCCTGCTCCTAGTTACACACATGTAATTCTGATTGAAACTGGTGGAACGTGATGAAGGCGTGAAGGGCTGCAGACTAAGGGTTTGCACTAGTGGCAGGAGTAAAATATCAAAAGAACTCTTTCAGTGCCACCGAGGATCTTGTGTCAGAAATGTAGAGAGAAGATATGCTAGTAGTACACATTTTATTTTTCTTAGTCCAGTTGCTGCTGAACAATCATTAGTTTACAGAGCATGGAAACCACTCTTTGGGATCAGGGATAGAGAATCATATCAGAGGTTCAGAAGAGGTTTGCTAGGAAGAGATGGTTGGCCTTGCTGCTTATATAGGAGAGCGGAGAACTGTATCCAATTAACGTTATGAGCATATGGAAATTATATGCATTCATTGTGAAGAGCAGACATGAAAAAAAATCCCATTGTGTTGTTGTCAAGACACCTAAAGTTTGATGACCTAGGTGAGAAGAAGCAGAGTCACAAGGCATGGCAATTACTCTGAAGCAGTGTTCTTAAAACCCTCATAACTGAGCTGTGTAGAACCTTGATTTTGTGTTGGCACAATGGTATGCAGATGTCCTGCATGTGACAGTGAGTGTGATCTGAGAGAGGTTGGCCAAGCTATGCTCCAAGCTCTTTCTGGGGACACACATGGAACGAAGTATAGACCTTATGAGATTCATTCATTCATTCATTTTACATTTATATCCTGCCTTTCCATGAAAGGCAAACTCAATGTGGCTTTACAAAATAGACATTTAGAACATAAAACAAGTTAAAATGCCACCACCATCATAAAAATACACAAATTTGCAGCGGTAACAGCATCATAAAACACATTCAGCAAGCAGCAAATAAAACACATAGTCAGAGACTCTGAGTAAAAAATGCCCACAGGAATAGAATTGGTCTTAATAGCTCATTTAAGAAAAGGCAAAGTGTTCATGTCAGAGACACCTCTTTTGAGGAAGCTATTCCATCTCTTAGACACTTCAACTGAAACGTGGTCTCGCTTTCATTCCAGTCAACTGTTTTCATTGGCAAAGGGGCCCTGGAAGCTGAACACAGATCAGATCACATGACAGGATATGATGTTTGAGGAACCCCTGCTCTCTCAGACCAAAAGCAACACTTTGAATTGAGCCCAGAGTTGAATTTTGGCATACTTGGACTGTCTTCAAGAGTAGCCCTGCATAGCATGCATTGCAGTAGTCCAACCAGGCTGTGGCATAAATGACCAAGGCTAGATCTAATTTCTCCAGAAAAGGACATAGCTGGCAAGTCAGTTGTAGTTGGGTATCAGTGACTACTAGCCATGATGGCTGTGTTTTGCCCCCAAAGTGGGAGGTTGTAATGCTTCTAAATACCAATTGCTGGAAATGGATAGTGCTCTTGTGCTCGAGTCTAGTTTGCGTGCTTCCCACATGCATCCAGTTGGCCACTGTGAAAACAGAAGGCTAGACTAGATAGGCCACAGGCCTGATCCAGCAGGCTCTTATGTTATTATGAAAAATGCAATCTTTTCCACCACTTCAAGTTGTGCATCCATAAACACAATTAGATCCAGGAGTTCCTTCCACTCCCCAAGCTGTAAATGTTTTGCTTCAGGGGGAGTGCAACTCCACCCAATGCTGCCTGAACATCACTTCTAAGATAATCAGGACCACCAGCCAGCTGTAGCCAACCTATTGTGGCAAAAGGGTTGTAATTTCATAGTTTGGAGGAAAAACAGACCAGTCAACTGCTGACAAAACATTAAGGTCTGGGAGGACTTGGCAACAATCCAGGAGAGGTCCATCATCAGGCCCCCCTGTTCCTTCTGTTGCAGCCTTTGTACCAGTATATTTAAAACCAAGAGGAATGTCGACAGAAGAGGCTTTAGTGGCTGCATTATATAAGATAAATTACTCATTGGATCGGCTTAACAGGAAAATGGACACGATAAATGCAAAAGTGGATGTTTCAATTACTAAAATTAACTTAAATACAGAAAGTATAAACAATACCAATACAGAAACCACCCAGAAATTGATACAGGAACCTACTTTGATACGGCAAACTGTGGAGGAAGCCAGGGAAAAAGCTGTTGTTGCTGAATGTAAAGTAACACAACTGGAGAGAAAGAGAGCCCCAGCCCTACAGAGGCAATTTGATGAACATAAGTTGATGCTTGCTATGACTGAACTTAAAGAAAAACAGACGAATTTGAGGATTAGAGTTCCCTTTGGTGGACATGCCCAAGGATTAAGACACTTTGGGAGATGATTCATAATGAAAAGAAAAAGGTATTTAAATATACCCTTTTGAAGAAACCAGACGCCTTTCTCCTGGGCATGGTCGGCCAATTGGTGTTAAAGAAGGATAGAACGTTTTTCACGTATGCAACAATAGCGGCAAGAATACTCATTGTGAAGTACTGGAAGACACAAGATTTATCTATTCGGGAAGAATGGCAGATGAAGTTGATGGACTATATGGAATTGGCGGAAATGACTGGCAGAAATCCGAGACCAGGGAGAAGAGTCGGTGGAAGAAGACTGGAAAAGTTTAAGACTATTTATAGAAATACTGTAAAAATAATGAATGTTAGAAAAATGTTGGAATGAAGTTATATGGCTTTAGTAGAAATGCTATAAGGAATCAAGTATAAATAGATTAATAGAGTATTAAAGGGAAAAGTAAGGTTAGAATATGTTAAGATAATTATAGGATAGAAAACAGAGGAAGATGGAAAGGAATTGCTGAAACAATTAACAGAAGTGGAATACAAAAAGGGAGGTGTGAGGAGGTCGTGGAAATAAGGGAATGAAAGTTAAGATATTGAAATTGTTTTGTCTTTTAAATGGTTTGTGTCTTGTTTTGTTAGTCTTATGTTTTGTTTTTTTCCCCTTTCCTTTTTTGTTTTTCTGTTTTGTTGTGTTTAAACGGTTGGAAAATTAATAAATATTATTAAAAAAAAAGTAATTTCATAGTTTGGACCCTCATTTTAATCTTATTTCCATCAAATTCTGTCCAAACTTCAATAGGAGCCAGCATTTTTCTCAGTCTTTCGTTGTTACACAGTGACTTCAGTAAATAAATTAGCCTTAGCCCTAGGAACTATAAAATGATACAAATCTGAAGTAAGTAAAGGAACATGTAGAAATAAAAATCCTAACCACATGGCAGTAGGGCATCCTTTTGGGAGTAGCTAGCCAGTGAGTGCACACCTTTTCTTATTCTACGGTGTCCTTGATATAGTAGTTCATACCCTCAATTACTTCAGCCTCCCTTTCAACAGGGCTCGCAGCAGTGATCCTCATGGCTTGCTGAAAGTTCTCTACTCAATAGGTCTGAGCTATTGTGAATTTATAACACCCACTCTCAGTTCTTTACATTGGTGGAACAGAAAATACTGAACTGATTGCATTTGGTGTGTGAAACCCTAGTGGTCCAGAGTCTGGTTAAGATTCATTACCTTCTTTCCCTCAGTCTTATTGGCATGGCATCAGCTACACATGCAATTTAACAGTTATGCTACCACACCTCAGTCTGGGTGGACGCAATGCCTTTCTAATATGGGGAGGGTTAACCACGTGAAATTAACCCACTACTAGGGAAGTCTGAGTGGGTCTGTGGCTATTGACTGGAATCAGGATGTGAGTAGGCATTTATTCAGAGTAGTGTTTCTGGATATGATTCCCATTAGGATTTGGGCACTTGTCTGGGGGATCAACCCCATGACATAATTTGGTGTGATGATGCAGTATCACATATTAGGTGAACCTGTCCTGTGTGTGTTTATGCACAGTTGTAAGTGTGATGGTCCAGGGTTGCAGATCAGTGGCTACATCAAAGGCTTCTACTATTTTATGCTAATTGTGTAGCTCCCTAGATAAAAAAGGAGCTTTTTAGCCAATGAGAAGTCTTCTTATCCTTTTGCTGATTGGAGCCAATCATAGTGACAAGAGGGTGAGTCAGCCATTGAAGATTGGCTCCTGGGATCACTCTGGAGAAAGCACACAGGAAGAAAAGCGAGGAGTTGTTCTGTGTGCTCCGAAGCTACGCATTTAGGAGCACTGAAAACACAAGGCGCTTTAGTTTCAAGAGAATGGTGTGCAAGTTCTGCACAATGGAACTTCAGTGAAAATTCAGCTTGAGTCACTGTGAAATAACCTATTCAGAGCACTCCAAATCATTTGCCCCTGTATGTGCATAGTAAATAGTAGATCTAGCTGAAACACATGGAGTTCTGCATTGATCATTGCAACGCATCATTATTATTATAATTGCATAATTATATGATTATTGTGTAATCTTAGAAGGCTGTTAATCTTAGAAGGGGGTGTGGCTGTGAGGGGGTGTGGCTATCATGAAGGGACCCTGCAATTCTGAATTTGCCACTACACTACTGTGCACAGTAGCCAATCCGTTCATGCAATACAAGACAAGCACACAGGAAAGTTGTGCTTGCTAGCCAGTTTTCCCTAGATATTTTTTGTTGCCATAGCACCAGTCACTATTTGAGCAGAACCCAGCCATATTGGTGGCTAAAGATACCAGTGCAAAACAGAAGGGAGAGGTGATGATGGAACACAAGTGAAACAGAAAGGATGTTGGACTGGAATATTTTTTGTATACCAGCATTCCTAAGGTGCTGCCTTCTGGGACAAAGAAAGATGCAGAGTTAATTCAGACATTTGAACAGATGCTTCCCCCATCCCACCTGTTTCATGCAAACTATCCCTGTGATTAGGATTGTGTGGAGAAATGCTTGCTTGAATGGGGCTGTGCTTAGCAAGGGCGTAGCTGGGGGGGGCAGCTGCCCTCCAAGTAAATCAATAAAAAATACTTAACTAACTGAGGGTCTGCTGCCCCCTCCCCCCACATGAAGTCTGCCCCACTAAATCCTGGCTATGCCCATAGTGTTTAGGCTATAGCCCCAGCCATCAACAGTCATTTCCATAATAGTGACATGGGGCAAAATGTGCAGGAACCTGCTAAATTAATCCTGAGAAAAGAGAATGTGTGTGTGGTGTGTATGTTTTTCCTGGTCCTGAGGACTGATCCATATTGGTATTAGACTTCATCTCTCTCTCTCTCTCTCTCTCTCTCTCTCTCTGTGTGTGTGTGTGTGTAATCAATATTGTATGATTTCCACAATCAGAACTAGCAGCACATAGCTGACTTCCCATGGTAAACATAAGGTTGTTGTGCGTGGCTATCTAATATTGTGTTATGCTGTATTTGCTTCCCTTTGGTTTTTCCCTTCACACCTCTCTGCCATTTCTTAGGGGGATGTGAGCTTGGATAAATTGGGAGCAGGGAAACAAAGAGCACCTCCTCATTCTAAATTTCTCCTCATTAATTTCTAAAAAGAGAGATGCTGGGCCTCAAGCCTGTCTGAAAGCCAAGTCCTTTACTTAGAAGCCCTGCTTTCTAATCCCAGATGCAGAGGAGCTGGCTGTAGCTGCTGAGGGATGAGGGAAATGCATTTGGCATTTGCTCAGAGGTGTTTTCATTGCTATTATTGGCCCATGTGTTCCAAGGATGGGTACTGGCATTCAAAACAGGTTTCGAAGCTGAGGCCTTGTTCCAAGTTGAAGCCCTATCCTGGGCTAGATTTTGGTTGCATAGGAATCAGAAAGTGTGCCATACTTTCTGATTATGATTCTCTCTCTCTCTCACCATGAATATGTATAAATAATTGAAGCCCTTGGAGGCAGAGTGGGAAAGTGATTTTCAGTGCTGCCGAGGTGTGAAAGCTGGTCCAAGGCAGCCAGCAGTCTTTGGCATTTCCTATCTCACGTCCCAGAATACAGAAACTATTCAGAAGGTTGTTGCTGCAGAAGGACAAGGATCTCACTCCAGAAGAGCCCTGAAGGGATGTTGCTTGCACAGGACAAGGCTGAGGTGCCGCTGCCTGCTTTCCCTCCCTCCCTCCCTCCCGCTTGCTTTCTCTCCTGCTGTGAAACATACAGAGGGTGAGGGAACTGCATTAAATGTTTAATGAGACCCTGACTGAGCAAAGCTGGAGGAACCACAGTAGGAGAAACTGTTCTCTCCTCTAGGGTCACTGATTTTACACATAGCTCGCTCCATGGCAGCACCAAAAGCCCTTCCCTCATGGGAATGAACACATAACATTGCTGCTTCCTGCAGGACTTATTAGCCACAAAGCAAGCAAGTTCCCCAACTCAGGGCTGCAATGAGATTTTAACAATATGCTGATATTACTGTCCTGTTATGAGGCAGCATAGCTCACAGATAGGGAGGCTCAACCAGTAGTCTGGAGTGATGGTGAGAACTAATATTGATAAGAATATCAGGTCCCGTGTGATACATGCGAGCAGTGATATGTTACGTTCCTAGGAGTGCTTCATAACAGAGGCCAAGTTCAAGAGAAACAAAAGGGTGAGACACAATACATCTCTCTCTAGGATCTGACTACCCCTCCAAGGCTTCATCTTCATACTTGAAGGAATGGCGGTCCTTGAACAGACAATGGAGGTTGACCCATTAGGGCAAATGGAGCACTCTTCCCAAAATACTAGTCAGCCCTCAGCCAACCTCTGCCTGCCTTCCTATTTACCTCTTCTATGTACAAGCAATCCTTGGGTGGCACTGGCTGCCATCTTCCTCCTCTTGAGTTTCAATTTAGCTGTTGTAGAACTCAGCAGGGAAGAGGATGGGGGCGTTATTTCAGTTAGTTGGCTCTGTCTGCCAGCGACTCTGTCTCTGTCTGTTGGTGGACTCTGGGCCTTCAGTGGGAACCAGTCACTACTTGACAAGCTTGGAGTCAAGTGTGTTATTGGTTCTCCAGGTGGAATCTACACACACATATAAAAAATGCTTTTTAAGGAAACGTTTTTAAAAATACATTGAATTTGGCATAGCTCACTGTCTCCATCTAGTGTCACATTTCTGTATTACACTTTACAACAAATTTAAAACATTTTATTTGCAGCTGTATAGCTGAGTCCCA